CGGGGCCGGGGGGAGGTGAAGCTGCAAGTCCATGACTGCAGTCTTGTGTTGCTCAGAAGAGGAAGGACATTTTGAAATGGTGGATGCTGTATTTTGAGTCCAATGGGCAACTTTGTGGCCGGGACGCTGTGTGGGCCAAAAGGACCCAGGGGTGCCGGTCAAAAGCAGCTGAAGGTGGGCCAGGACCTGGCCAGGTGGCCAAGAAGGCCAAGGGCACCCTGGCCTGTGTCAGCAAAAGTGGGGCAGCAGGAGCAGGGCAGTGACCGTCCTCCTGGGCTGGGCAGCGCTGCAACCATAGCTGGAATTTCTGTGCTGCGTGTCACCCTCAAATCCACGGGTGATGAGTCCCCAGTGTACCCCATCCAGCTGGGCAGTGGGGCGAGTCGGGCAGAGGGAGGGAACTTCTCCTTGGATCCTGGGGGGCTTTGAGAAGCTCCCTCGTGAGTTCAAAGACAAGCTGGTCCGACAAGCAAGAGAAAGAGGCGCTCCTCCTCAGGATTAGTTCCGAAATTTAATGAGGGCCTGGAGAGATCCCAGGCCACATCCAAACCCGAAGGACATCCAGAGCAAGAGAGGGTGTCCCTGCCCAGAGGAGCCAGATATAGGGGGACAGGGAAATCCGAGCAGCCAACAGGGGAAGGACTTGGGAGTGGCTCTCTGGGGGCAAGGCCTCAGAGTGACCACTGAGGAGGGGGTGGGGGAGGAGCCCCGAGCCAGGGTCCAGTTACCTGGGGACCCTGGGAGAAGGCTCTGGACAAAGGGGAAGGGTCACGAGGTGATGGACACATCACCTGGGAGGAGACGGGGATGAGTCAGGGATTTTGGGGTTTGATGGACATACAGGTGCTGATGGGAAAGCTGGGATGAAGCAAACGGATACAAAGAGGGGATATGGAGGGACAAACCATTATGAGGGGATATACAGGGCGAGCACAACTCCACAGTGATGTGTCTACATGTGGGCCCCTCTGAAGCAGGAAGTCCTTGAGGCGCTGGGCGTGTGCAGAGAAGGACACGGGAGCTGGGGAAGGGTGTGGAGCGCAAGGCCAAGGAGGAGGTGCTCAGGGTGTTTCAGCCTGGACAATGGGAGGCTCGTGAGGGACTTTCAGGCACACTTCCATAGATCCATATGTGACAGTGCTCATCACCATGGCTGTTCCCCTGCCAAACATGCCCTCACTGCCTCCAAGTGTTTTAGCCACCTGAGGAGGGGACACTTTTGACTTGGTTTGACTTGGTTTGACTTGGTTTGGTAGGAGGTAAAGCCCTGTTGATTTTCTCATTTTCCAACAAGCACAGATGCTACTTCACAACGTTTCCTGCCCTTTCCTTGCACTGGTTGGGATTCTGATCCACTTTGAGTTTTCCATGTCTGCCGCAGCAACAGCAAAGGCCTTGCTGGCTATTTCCTACTTTTGCATTTCAGGGCTTTAAAGAGCCAAAAGCTCCTTTGTGCCAAGGCACAGTTGCTTGCTGATGGCAGCCAGGAAGGACTATCAAATACATAGAGTGCATCAATTAGAGTTCTGTTGAGTTAGCCCATTTTAATCTGGTCAGAGTGACTTAGAATTGCATTGCTAACAAAGTGGATAATTTTTCCTTTTAAGAGGTGGTTGTGGATCCGAGGAGAAACGAGATTATAAATGATAGGTAACGGCTTGTCCTTCATGCTTCTCTCTTGCCACAG